GCCGTGGGGACTATGACAGAGTAAGTGCACCAAGGAGTGGTTTGCACTCTTGTGAGAGATGGCAGGCATAGCTGTAACTGGTTTTGGTCTCCATAGTTTCTGTATTGATAGCTGTGAAGGGAATTAGGCTTTAGCATGGCTTAGCCAGATGCCAAGGAAACTGAACAACCCATGCTGAAGCCAATGTGGGATTGCATGTTAGGTAATTCACGTCTGTCTGCACTCCAGTTGTTCCTTCTTCCTGCAGTACAAACCTCTGGAGCAGAGCAGTGGAATGGAAAGCAAAGGGCTGTTAGCTAGGGCCAGTAATACCCAAATGGAAGTTGTGTCTCTTATCCTCACGATTTCATCTAATGTCTTTGCATATGTTTTTGCAGACAGACCAGACCCACCTGCCGGAACACCCTGTGCATCAGACGTACGGAGTTCCTCCCTCACTCTCTCGTGGTATGGCTCCTCTTATGATGGTGGAAGTGCAGTGCAGTCCTACACCGTGGAGATCTGGAACTCAGTGGATAACAAATGGACAGACCTCACGACCTGCCGCAGCACCTCCTTCAACGTGCAGGACCTGCAGGCTGACCGGGAGTACAAATTCCGTGTGCGAGCTGCTAACGTGTATGGAGTCAGTGAGCCCAGTCAGGAATCTGACCTGGTCAAAGTTGGAGAGAAACAAGAAGGTTAGTTATTAAGAGAATTAAAAAAAATCTAAATTCAATTGAACTCTATCTTAACCATTCCTCAGTGAGACCAGACAGCTGCACACACTCTGCACATGTGCCTCTGTGCAGTGAATGCTAGCGCTGTCTCTGTGTGCTCAAGTCCCTTCACAGACTTCTTGTGGGTGTCTGAGCATATAAGTTTTGCATGCACACAGTGTGGAAACTTGGCATCATGGATTCCAAATCCCTGCCTGGTCAAAGCAACCAATAATTCTCCTTCTGGCTTGCTGTGTGTGTGCTGCTGACAGACTTCTGCAGTTCAGTGCACAGGCAATGGGAGACAAAAACCTTTCACACATGTTACACATTCAGTCCATGCCCAGTTGGAAAATTATGGTTGGTGGCTTACCTGAAATGTACTGATGGATTCCTTCTAGTTTATACTGGACACACGATGGAAAAACAAGCCATAAACACTACCCCAAATTTGCTTTGGGAAAAAGTAAATGTGCTTGCTGGATATGCAGCAGAAAATGAATTGGCATCTCATTCCTAGTTGTAGCCCCCATGCTTTCAATCCCAGCATGACAGAGCACCTCAGTCCTGTTGCCCCTAGTATACCCATCTTACAAATCCAAGACTATCCTACTTAACATGTTGGGGTTTTGCAGCATTATGGATGTTAAGAATATTTTTAGTGCTTTTCATTACCCTTCATGTACTTGTAAAAATATTTTTCAGTATCTTTTACTCCTTATTTTTTGCTTAAGATCTTCTCAAAGGACTAACAGAAAGAGTTGGATTGTTAGAGAAATTATTCAGAAACTGGAACTAAAATTTGAAACACAAAAATATCAGCATTGTTTTTCAAAATCAGAGCGTGACTACATATTTTTGTGCACACCCACATCTACCTACTGTGCAAGGATGACTTTGATAGTCATCTCACCAAAAAGCCCAGACCAGAAATAATGTATTTTGCCATTTTTCCTATCTCTTCCTCCTTTCTTATGTATGAACAGCTTTGAAGCTTTAAGTGTCCCACATAACCCTTGTGAAGTTATCTTTTACTACCACAGCCAGACAAAAATGATAGCAAAGCGATGCAGCATCACACAACTGGATAAACCTCTCAATAGACATTTCTAAACAAAAGTAAATCATATTTCTCTTCAAGTGCTAAACTGGATGCATTCTGAGAAATTACTTCCCTCTATTTGCAAGATTTAAAACCCTTTAAGATTTAAATCTTAAAATATTTAAGATCTAAATCAAGATGCACTTTCTCTTCAAAGGAGGGAAAATAACATTAAGAGAAGCAATCAAAATGAAAGGAAGCTAGATGGTCTTGGCTCTCCACAATAAAGTTCCCTGTGTTTGAATGCCCTCTTCCTTTAGTTGCAGGACGAACACCACCTAGAGCTGGGGACCTGACTCTTCTCTGTGTTTGTTTTTCCTAGAGCAAGCACTACCTGTACTGGACCAAAGCAAGCAAGCTATTTTTCTTTTTAAGATTGAGAGTTTTCTTACATAGATTTAAAACAAAAAGGCTAGAAAGTGTATGAATCATTGTAATACATATAAAAAAAGGCAACAAAATCCTTGTTTTGAGTGAAGTGTGTTCTGTTTGCAGGAGGGCATTGTGCTCTCAATGCCAGATTAATTTCACTTCTTGATACTACAGCTAGCATGGAGAAGGAGCAAGTCATTTAAAGTGTGATTTTTAAAGTGTGTGAATATAACCAGTGCTTTAGTTAAAAGCAGTGGAAAATGCATGTGTTCAGCACCTGTCAAAGTCAGGATTCTAAGCTGCTATCTATGTAAACACTTAACTGAGTAACTAGGGATTTTCTGGGGCTGGCAGGAAGTCTGATTACTGATTTTCATGCTGAGGTGGCCAGCACATATTAGCAGACTCGATATAATCTTAGTGAGGAAAGACTTGGCTAAATTTTCACAGTGCATTTAAAGAAAACAGCTACTAAAATAAGGTTGTAAGTCACAACAGATTAAAGTATGCATTGCCATGTTTGAGGAAAATTTGGTGCTGTTGACTCACTTCTGAGAAAGGTTTTAGCACAGCTACTCAGCACTTACCAAGCTCAGATATGTTCCGCTTATATAAGTTAGGTTTCCACTGGTGGACCAAAATGTTTCTAGTTCATGGCTTCAATATAGTGTCGCTGCAGAACTGGGAACTGACTTCTTGCCTAATCAGTATTTGGCAGACAGTAACTACTGGCAGCGTGGCTGGGATCAGCTCCCTTATGCAGCCCTTAAAAGGGGAGGAAAATGTGATGTGCTCTATGCAAGTGTGGTTTGCAGCTGAGGAAGATCTGAGGACAGCTACCCTGGGTGGGGAAGGTTCCCTTCCCTCCCTGCTCTTCTGGTAAATCCCTGCAAACCAGCTCGTCTGTGCTGGAACATACAAGGGGTGCAACTCCAGAAAAAAAAAAGAGAGAAAGGCTTTAGCAACAGACTCTATCTACTTGATTGGCTTTGCTGCCAGCACACAGATGCAGCATTCTGTGTTGGATGTGAAAGGGTGATGCTCATGCATCACACCAGCTATCTGCTTGCCCTGCACCCTTTATTTCTGTTGTTTTCTTCTCATCCTCTGCATATAAACTGTACTCTAAAGCACCTAACAGCACCCAGAGTGCAGCATTAATGTTTCATGACACAAATCTGTTGACACAGGGGTGATAAATTCCTTGGTTAGGCTTGTACTCCACGATGGCAAAGTGCAGCTTCAGCAGCTACAGGGAGAATTGAACAGGTCACTGTGCTTTGCAGTTTCTCAGATTACTGGTCATAGCCACAGGTCTTAGGAGCAAGTCCAAGCAGTGTGAGTAATGTATAACAACATTCCAGCTATAACCCCTTTCCCCTCATAGCTGCAGGCAACATAGGAAGCAACACAAAATGGTGCTACTGGCATTTCATGCATGTGAAAATTACAAATGAAAATCAGGACACTCAGGCCAGATTTCACTCTCACTTAGGTCACCGGGTTTGCCAACATCTTGCCTGCCTTTGAGTATGTCTGCAGAGCTGCAGCTCCATTTGGACCTCAGTGGTTTCAGGATTCAGCCGTGCTCAGAGAAATGCATCCTATCCGAATTTTCTCAACATTTTGAGTCTTAAAAATTTGTCTGGGTGCTTTGCAGGAAATCTTTTCATGTACAAACTTGCTTAGCTTTTGGTTTTGCAGTCCGAAACAGGCACATCAAAGCCAGAAAAAGATTTTTCAGTGAAGTGTTACTGATTTGAATTTTTTAAATTTATTTTCTGTTTTCCTAAGGCATTCCTAAAGGTATTTCTTAGATGACTTTGAACTGATTCAGTACACTGATGTTTCTAGGAGACAGGTTACAATAGACAGCTACTGCAAACCACATGAACTTGATTTATTCAGAAATGGTGACTGGATTGTGATTGTGTAGTCAATAGTCACGTAAAAGTGGTGAAGAGATTGTAATTATGAAGTTATGCACAAACTCCTGACTGCTTTTTGCTGCTTTGCCATAGGGTCTACCAGTTGCCCATATCACTGTGAATAATTTCACTACCTCATCTAAGTACCATGTTCTATATAAAAAGTTGTCCTTGTCTTTTTGTTTTCATCACAGAACCTAAAGAGGATGAAGCGGAGCTATCTGATGAAGGTAAGAAATGCATATTTTGAACAGGACAAATGCAAATTCAGTTTTTCTGGAGGTTTTAATCACAATCCTTAATACCTATTTGTAGAGGGGAAAGAAACAGAGATGGAGTATCGGACGGTTACTATCAACACAGAACAAAAAGTGTCAGATGTCTATAACATTGAAGAAAGATTGGGATCGTAAGTACTATATTGTGCTTTTGAAGACACAGAGTTTTCAAGGCTACCAGTCAGTTATAAAGATCATGTGCATTCATTTTTTGACATTGTCTTGCACTTTCAACATTCCATCTGGGCTCTTTTGTTGCAGTAAAAATAAATTTTAGCATATGTTGGCCTCCACTCCATAAAGATCTTTACTCCTATTAACTCTTAATTTTACATAGGTACTGTATGCATTTGTGGCAAGGAAAACGGAGCCCACAAATTAATAGAGCTAGAGGATTCATTAGTTTTCCAGTGTTCTAAAAGCTATCTGAAAAAAAGGTACACATTGTGTACTTGCATTTCCATTATATCCATTAGTGGTAATAAGATTATCCTGCCCACAGGCTAGAATCTCTGCTGACAGCAGTCATAATCCCCAGAGCATTAATAGTATTGCTAAGAGAAGGTCAGTGATTAGCCTGGCTGTGTCTCTCAGGGCTGTGTGAACTGCAGGCCATGATAATCTTTCAGTGATTTGTGCTGAAGGCCAGGGGATCCTGTGTGCTACCATTAACAAGTTGTAGAGGTAGAACTGTACATGTACAGCAGTGTGAAATAATAGTCCCAAAGCCTCGAGCATTCAGATTGGTTTCACCTATATCCTATACCTGAGATGTCTATCTGCTGCCCCTGTATGGCCTATGGAAAACTGTGTGCAGAGAGACTTGAGTCACATGAATTAAAAGCCTGGTAGGAGTCCAATTTTTGAACCCTCTTACGTAAACTTGTTAACTGGAACAGCAGGGTTGCTCTAAATGTGGTACTCATTCAAAAGTTCTTGCAGATTACTCTGCACAGCATCAATATAGAACAATACTTGGTATTAAGACATATTTATTTCAGAATGGAGTGGTTGTGCTGGAATATTTAGTAAAATGTTACTATTAATGGTGGCACATACATTGCAAAAACATTTTATGGAAATAGTTATGTATTTTCAGGGGGAAATTTGGACAAGTCTTTAGGCTTGTTGAAAAGAAGAATGGAAAAGTTTGGGCAGGAAAATTTTTCAAGGCATATTCTGCTAAAGAAAAAGAAAACATAAGGGATGAAATCAGCATCATGAACTGTCTACATCATCCAAAACTTGTCCAATGTGTAGATGCCTTTGAAGAAAAAGCCAACATCGTTATGGTCTTGGAAATGTAAGTATAAAGCAGATCACACTAGCAAAGCTAATAATGTTGAAAAAAATTGTGTATACAAAAGTAGCAGACACAGGACTGTCAAAAGCTTCAGGAATTGCAGGGCCTGGATGGTTTTCACATCTTGCAAGTTTTTCCAATTATTAATCTAACTTGTTTGAACTGTGTAAGGGAATCTGTGTTGTATCTTTTAATAATCAGTCAAGATGTGTTACAGTTTTTATTGCCTAGCTTGCTTGGTTTTTAAAGCACACAAGGTGGGTTTTTGCAGCTCGCTCTTTTATTGCCAGCTTGGGAGAGGAGAGAAAAGAAGTTACTTGCATTTTGTGCTTTCATTAAAACCCAAAATGTGTTTTAAGGAGGAGAATTTTTCTTATCTTTAGACAGTTCTAAACATGTATTGAAGAAGTTTGTGTCAAATTTCACTTGAACACTGATCAGTTGTCACTTGCAGGGAATTAAATGTTGGTGCACAACAGACAGGAGGAAAGGTGTGCTTCAGAATTAACAGCTACATTCAAACAAAATAGTTGAAGATCAGTGAAAAATTTGTCATGACAAATTTATAGTGCTCAAGAAGTATTAGTAACCATTTAGTTTTCATGATATCCAGTTTTTAAAAGAGACGTTAAAGGATTAGTCTGGTGTATTTTTCCTGCAACAAAATAAATACTCTTATTGCAAAACATTTATGTATAATAAGGGAGTTCTGTATGCAAAATATCCACAGGTAAATACAGTGAATGTTCTAAATCTAGATCACTAGATGCAGAAAGGTTGGTTACACTGACTGTTTCCCCCAAAAAATCTAATTAAACCTGAACTGATCTGCCCCTAAGGTCAATACACAGATTTTCCATGATGGTCAAGGTGTAGGAGGTGCAGAAGGGAATCTCTCCTTTAGTTGCAAAGTCATTGCACTCTTCATTCAAAGCTATATAATTAAGTGCAGCTGATTCTGAAGACAGCCTATGTTGCAGTCTAGTTCTTGCTAAGTAAGATAGCAACACTTACTTTTACTTCCCAGAAATTGTTTGCCATGAGCTACTTATGCCACAGCACTGTGGGACACAGCAGAAAAGCACCACAGAAGCATCTCACAGGGCTGTGACTTGGGTACCTTTGTATTTAAAGGTAGTAGATATTTACTTCCAAAGTAAAAGAAGGTTCAGAACATGTTCGTGCACCAGAACTCATTATAAGAAAAGAATCTGCACAGCATGGGATGGAAAGTAATGGTCAGGCTTTACAAACAATAAAATGACCAATTTTTGCATCATCCATAACACACCTGCTTGGTGTGACTCCCATACTTACAGCAGCAGCAGCTGGAAAGAAAATTAAATCCTGGTCTGTGATGATGCTTTTTCAAAAAAGTTACATCCATTACTGTTCTGCTGCTGCATCTACTTCATGTGCTGTCTGTTGCAAGAAGGAGAAGCAGTTTTTTTTGCTGGCAGGAAGTTCTGAGTAAGATAAAAATTGTTTGAGGCAAAAGAGACTATATATCTATTTTGCTTGCTTGGCACTTGCCTAGATTATGTGCAAACTACTACTGCACTGGCATATTTCAGAAATTGGATTTTACAACACTGAAACTTATGTGCAAGAAGGTGTTTTTATTTTTAGACTGAGCAGTTGAGCAAGCTGATGGTGGTAAGGGAAGGGAACCCTACTTAGCTTGGAACTGGGAGCTGGCAGACCTAATGGAAAACAAGGAGATGTATAAAGAGTCTGGAATAGCATATGGCTTTACACTCCATTAGTTCCCCTCTGACAGCAGAGGGGTTTCACTTCTTAAAAATACAGAAAGGTGCAATCAAATTTAAAGTAGTTTTGCTAACCAGTCCAATTAGGATGGGATTTTAGTTTGGGGTTTTTGCCCACCTTTTCTGGATTTTGAACCCCCTGACATTTCCGTAGTGTCAAGAGCTATAGGAGAGGGTTCTTAAGCAGCATGAGCCTGTCCCAGCCCTGGAGCAGGTCTGGGCACTGAGGTGCTTGTGTGTCACCTTTGTGTCAGATGCCTTGGTAGCCTCTATACTGTCATGCCACCACCTGACACAATCCCGGCACAGCAACTGCGCCTTGATTGTCAGAGAGCCTCCAAGGGTTCATTTCTGGTTTAGCTATTAAGCTAGTGTTGCTTTGTGTATCAAAGAAGTTGTAGGAAATACCTTCAAAAATTCTTAGTATCTGAACTGTTAGCTTTATTTCCCTCAGAGTTTAAACACATGGATTTCAAATCAGTCAAGGTCATCTGCTATCAGTCTCCTTTTAAACCAGATTTTAGCAGTGACTGGAATTTAGGAGCTCCTTCTCTACTCAATTTGGAGCTACTGATAAGAAGCACCTTCTGATTTTTCTTCCTGATATTGTCTCTAAATGTTTCATTTCTTAGAACCTTTGAAACTTCACCTTCTCTCTTAATATTTTTATTAGACTGTCTTATATGGTTTCATTTAATATTTAAAATAAATTCAGACTTTTTTATTATTAATTTAAAATCAAACACTGCAATGATGTGCTCTTACCTGAAAACCTTCCCATCTACCATTTGCTGGAAGTCAGGGGTAAATTTCAGATATTTCCTTTGCAAATACAGGAACGTACTGGTTCCACAATAAGCATCTCCATGGAAAAAGTAAATCTGAAAAATAGTAGAATGTTGTAAATGTTATTCAGCACTGGCTGCTAATTGCCTTAAAGTTTTTATACACTTCAGATAGTTTATTTTGACATAGATGAGAAGAGGATTATTGTATTGCAAATTAAGATTATTAAAGTGCTAAACACCATTCGTTTGGTGTGACTTAAGCTGGCACAGGTCACTAAGGATTTCTGGTCTTTTGAAGGTGCATTTATTAAAATGCAGTTAAGTATTTGCCTGGGCAACTCCAAGGCAGATTCTTCTCACTGTTCCTCCATTACCAAAACCTTATAATAAAACAATTATAAAATGTATATTCTATGATTCTATAGACATGAATATTTTCCTCTATTTCCACTTCAGAAAGACTGAAAAGAGGAGAATCCAGAAAGAATGAGAGATTTAGATTCTGAGCCAGTCATGAACAAAGCCAACTTCTTATGTGTATATCTGCATTAGTTTGATTCAGCTTCCTAACCTGGAAAAAAATTAAACTGGATTGGGCTTGGGATGTAAATGCAAAAATATTCACTCTTTAAGTGCATTGCAGTTTAACCTAACATTGTGACCACACTGTCTAGAGCTCCCCTGGTAAAACCAGCATGCAGATGTATTCACAGTAGTTAATCTCCAAAAATATGCCAGAAGTGGTGCTTGAGAAAATGGCACAATTTCTGAAAAGTTTTCCCTTTAGGGAACTGAAAAGTATGGCAGTTTTATTGTAAAAATAAGTTGTCATTGTCTGCATTAAACAGTCCAAAACAACTGGTGCATTTTAGTGTTAGGCTGATTATCATTTGGAATTGCAGAGTGCTTCAGAGATAAACACTTTGTCTGCAGATGTTTTCATAAACACCTCCATCCTGGTTAATGTCTTCATGAAGTAATAAGGTACTAGTCCCCTGAATGTTTATTCACCAGGCCTGGCCATATGATTGCTTTATGTTACACTTGTGCTCTAATCCAATATAACCTCTCCATTTGTCAGGCATATGCTATTCTTACTGTTTTCATGTCCATAGGAAACCACAGTAGCATTTCTAATTGCATATTTTCTGAAATCTTACAGCCAAAGCAACAAATGTGTTTAGAACTGCAGATGTTTCGATTTCAGTTTAGTACATGAGGGATATAATCATATATCTGGCAACCTGCAAATATTGCCAGGCCAGTTTTCAGTTGTGTGTTTTCTTTCTGTAACTGAAACATGCAATTACATTTGGCAATAAGCATGAATGCTGCAAAATATTAGACCATATAAAGACCATGGTGCGTTTAATTTAGAACAGATTTCTAAAAGCAAAGCTGCTCTTCACCATTTGCTCCTTTCTGTGTGGGTCAGTCACCCACGGCATTAAAAAAAAAGTATTTCCCATCTTTGGACACAAACAGATAAGCCAGTTAAGTGATTACTCAGAATTTTAAAACAAATAAACAAACAAACAAACAACAGAACCCAACAAACTACAACTCAAATTATGTTTAATTAAATCTAGGTTAAAAATTTCCCACTTTAGTTCCACAAACAGTTCAATCCAGGAGATTCTATCCTGGCAAGACCAATTATTTCACATCTTAAATAAGCATAAAAATGGAATTGACCTACAAGGAGTGTGATGAGGGCTCAGCTAAAAATACCAGCACTAAAAGTGTTGTGGGTTATATCCTTGTCCTGTCATAGCTAAGAGGAAATTCCCTCTGAGCCCAACTTGGGTCAGTAATTTACCCTTTGAGGTTTGCATTCCAAATTAACCATATCATTGGAATTCTTCCTTCTTCAGCCTTTCTTTGTCACAGTCTCTCTTCTTCCCAAATTTTTACCCATCTGCTAGAAGCTTTGTCCTCTTTTCTTGGGACCCATTCCATGTATTTTAGTTTCCTTTATTTCTAAGTTAGGTTATCTGCAGTTGTGTCATGATGGATAGTAGGAGGGAAGGAAGCAGACAGAAACACATGCTCGGAGTCTGGAGTGGTGTTATGGACACATGTCAGCAGGGTGACAATCACATGGCACACTCTTTACTGTCAGCTGCAGGTGACTGAATCCTAAAGGCAGGATGTAAATCCCTACTGCCTGGGATATAACAGTATGGATGTTTCACAGTCCTCACCTGGGACAGAGACACAGAATGGAAAAAAATCTATTGACTTATACCATATACAAGGGGTGATTCTTTCCATTTGATCCTTTTGTCTATGGAAAGTACCATTGGAAAACACAGATTGCATCCTGAAGTGACTACTGCAAACCTGAAGTCTCTTTATTTCTATCTTTCATAGGGTTTCTGGAGGAGAACTCTTTGAACGAATCATTGATGAAGACTTTGAACTGACAGAGAGAGAGTGCATTAAATACATGAAGCAGATTTCAGAAGGAGTTCAGTACATTCATAAGCAGGGTATTGTCCACTTGGATTTGAAGCCAGAAAATATTATGTGTGTCAACAAGACCGGTACAAGCATCAAACTCATTGACTTTGGACTTGCAAGAAGATTAGGTAATGACTTCTTTGGCTATTTCAATATGACAAGGGAGGAAAGGGCAGGACAAACAGTAATTCATGCTACCTACTATATTCTTTCATGTATAAAGAGTAAATAGATGTTTCCTATAAATAGTTCTGGGTTTAGGAAGAAATAGAAATGGGCAAAAGAAGACATTCAAGAGTGAGAGTAGGGCACCTCATCTTCCAGAAGAGTTTGCAGTGAGGTGTTTACAATCTACAGCTGGGGTGTCTCTGCAGATTGCAGGGAAAATACACAGTAGTAGTAGTAATGTTAAACAAATATTTACATTTGAAGCCATAAAACAGTAACTCTCTATAACTTCATGAATGCTACAAAACCTTGACATTTTCATAATAGCAGGAATTAAGGTGATGTTCTAGAAGTCTTTCAGATACGGATAATTACAGTCGATTTACATTACCCCATTAGTTTTATCATGTCTTATCCTAAACAGCAAGATATTGTCATACGTGTTAAAGATCTATACAGAGCTGTGTAATAGCACTACCTAAAAATAATGCAATAGGAGGAGGTTCCATTGGACAAGCTTCTCCTCTTCCAAGGCTGTTTTTAGCTGCTTTTTATCATTCATTTTGGTCTAAGCTTCCAACGTGTTCTGCAACTTAAAAGCCAAAGACCTTTGAGGGTTCTTGTCTTCATACTGCTCAGCATTAGTTCAGCTCTGAAATGCAGATCTCCAGTTGTGTTTATCAGTGTTAAACAATACCAACATCACAGACTGATCTTTTTTAGTCTTGAATTTTCACAGGAGAAAAAAAATCATTCCAGGAACTGAAAAAAACTGAAATAGTTTATGAACCTGTCACACTGGGAGAGCTGAGATTTGTGGCTCTTCTGAAAATAATTGATTGGGACAACCCATATGAATTCCTACTCTTTGTTTAAAGGGAGAATCTAGCCCACAGTTAGATTCGTAGTTGCAATTTTTGCCTTCCTTCTTTAAACAAAATTAATTTTAATACTTATTAAAAAGTAGAAAAATTATTTTTGCAAGAGTACAATTTGAAATGACTACCACCTGGTTTTTGTTATTTGCCTAAGTGCTGCTCATCCTACTTCTTTTGATGCTTAAGTAACAGAGCACTGCATTCCCAAGAACATAATGTTACTAAAATAAGCAAAAAAATGGTTTGTTGAATGAATAGGACAAAAAAACTGCTTTTCAGAATTTCACATGATGTTCAGATCCAGAAGTGTATTACCTGAGTCTTGGTCACATGGACACTGTTAACTTAGACATAAGATGTCTATTTTATTTATGAAAAAAAGAGATCACTGCCATTTATGTTTCTTCACCAGTATGGAGTCAATAGTGTTCTGGGGACATGAACTGGATTTTGTTCTTGTGAAAACAGATGAACTGTTAACTAAGTTGCAGTGCTGATGTTTGTGTTATCAGAGGTGTGTGAAAGAGTTCAGCCCGTGATGTTCCAGCTGTCATCCTGAGAACTATACATTTACTGCTGCACTGAGTGGATTTCATCAACAAGAGATATAATATAAACACACAATGGCCTTTTTATAGAAACTTCTTCAACTACCTTTTTAGCTTCAGGCCACAGTTAAACCCACTTTTAGCAAATGGAGGATCCTATTTTCAGTAGCCTGTCCATATCCATCAGCTTTCCCATTTTTCTGTTAATCTCATGGCACCACAGTGCATTGCACGGCTGACAGGAGCTTGGGAGCTGCTGCAGACATGCCATATGTAGTAAATCTCTAAACTATAGATGACTTTTCTTGATGTAGAAGGATGAGAACTGTGGGCACTGACACTGATTTTGATTTTATAATGCTCTATATTCATTTGGCTTAATATGTTGCTAATTCTTGCCAAGTTCCGTTACAGGTATTTGCTATTCATCAGGCTGCTGTTCTGGGGAACTCCATCTCTCCCTAGGAAAAGAGAGTGCCCTTCCATTCCATGCCCATAAAGCAAAAGCACAGTGTTAATTGCAAAGGCAACTGTAACATTTTGGTGGAGATTTTTTCCAAAAGTAGAAACAAATTTTACTGCTCCACTTACTTACCACAATTGCTAAAAACCCTTTCCCCTAATGCCTGCTTCCTGCAGTTGTCTTACATGGTGCACTGAGGGCATGTTCCTCCACTTGTGCTCCTTCAAGCTTTGCAATTTTGGAATTGGCTGTCAAAGTCACTGTGACATTGATAGATGTGGGATTGGAGCCCTCATACGACAGATCTGACCCTGACTGAGCAGAAACTGCTCAACCAAGGGATTGCTGAAGGGAGCAGTGGCTGATTCTGCACTTCAACTTCTGAGATTTAACTTTTTATAACCCGTGCAAACTAATGCCTCTAAATATTAAGTGTTTTGATCAGTTTTAAAGATATTAGGATCAGCTCCTTCTGCAGACATCTTCTGCAGCTAATTAGTTCTCTTGCACTGTCAGGAAATACCAAAGCTGCAGTGGGATATTTTCCTGACCTTTTTTGGTGTGCTGAGGAACACATGCAGAAAATTGTTTAAGATAAACTTCTTGAGGAGAAAAGAGAATGGTTTTTGAGTACTGTAAAGATTTTTTTTTGATCAGTTGATTATACACAGTGTCAGCAACAGTTTCCAGCTAGCTTGTCAGCTTTCTGTCTGAACTAAGGGATATCCAAACACAGACCCTACTTGTGTACTAAGCTTGCAAACAACTGGGTAAAGATTCGACATATTATTGCATAGAAAATGTCTTATTCTTTTATACACAGAAAATGCTGTATCAGTTGTTTCTCACTGTATGCTTGCACTGAAACTTGCCATGTTTTCAAAAAAACCCAACATTTCTGTGACCTGTGGGCAGTGCATTTTATACACCAGCCTTTTGCATACACAGTGGCTCAGGGTAGTTTACACAGTGCACAGACAAACCTCCAAACTTGGATGTGAGAATCTGAGCCTGAGATTTGGACAATCAACATGAAGCTTTTAGAAAATAGGTTAGTTGTGACAAATTTCAGTAATTTTTCATATGCACAGTAAGATAACAAATGTAGGTGTTGACTTCAGGTTTTGAATGTGCTTTTTAAAGGCTAGTCAGAGATCTGACAGGAGGGTCTTGCTGTTAGTGAACTTGCATGGAAGGATCTGGGTGAGCTCCTGCAGCTGCTCTGTTTCTCTCTCCCTGCATGGAGGGGTCTCTGAAAGCAGGGAAAACGTGAAAATGAGGCTTCTGCAGTTAATTTACTATCACTGTACCTGAGCAGAGCAAAAAAGGGTCTCACAGCATTCAAAATGGGAAACTGGCAGGACTGTCAGTGAATCACTGTGGTAGTGCTTAAAAGCTGCCTCAAGCATGGTGTTCAGTCTTTAGGCAAGATATTAACCCCATATATACTTCAGATTTCATTTGGGAAGCTGTGGATTTGCATACCTCAAAGAGTACTAGGTTAGGTGTTTGATGACATTTCATGAAATGCCTTAAGAGCTTTTGGTGGAGCTAAGTGTGGAATTGGAGTCAGTACTGGGACCAACGTTTATATTCTAGAATAAGTTCTGGTAAATAAAAATATTCTATTAACATTCGGATTGTGGACCAGTAGCTTCTTTTGTAGCCTTCTCAAAACCTTGACTTGCTGTTGTTTGAGGGTTTTTTAAGCTTTTCTCTTTATTACTGAGCTGCAAATCTCTGTACTCATGGTAACCTTAACAGGAGCACGGTTGGAATCTGTTACATGTATTCCTTCCCATCCATATCTGTTTTGTTTAGATGGTAGTCTCTTTGGGAAAGCAATGGTTCCTCACTAGGACATTCTACTGTGCCTAATGTGGACGCTACTCTTGCACAAAACATAAATGTAATGCAGTGAATCTCACTCAAGGAAAATAATGATTGTTCAGACACATGTACAGACTGGACAAGAGTTTCTCAACCTAAATCCTGTTTCAAGTCAGAAACTGTTTATTTTCTGAAATTTTGATACTTTTATAATATCATTCTTTTCTCAGGATGTGGGGTTTTTACGCCCAATACCTAATACATTCCTTAGTTTTCTTCTTTCCTGACCTTGCTTATTCTTTTCTTCTTCCTATCCTATTTAGAACGAGCATCGCTGAAAATGAGTCCACTGAGATTTGCCTAACGATTTCTAACATAATGACTTATATCATGTTTCACGCTATGACAAGAAGTCAGACATATCACTCAGTTGCAAACTGGCAGCATAAAATGGCAGTACTAGTTATGAACAGGTTGTTCTTCTACCTTAATCATGGTATTTTCCAGTAGAGCAATACTGGTGGGTCAGCACAAGACAAGTGCCACGTGAGTTCAAGTGCCTCGTGACCTCATCCTTTCAGGTCATACTGGTAGCAGTGGTTTCAGTGCAGATCATTTTAAAAGCATCCATGTGGTGTTTGAGCAGAGCAACAGGCCAGCTGAATAAGAGTTTGGAGCAGCTGTTGATTTGTGCTTCCCCTTGACCACTTGGGAGCTCCACAGATGTGCTTGTTGGCAAGCCTGGGTTTGAGAGCATACTAAGTCCAGTTTTATGGATGAGGTAGTGATCTGACAGGTCAGTACATCATCTGCTTCTTCTCTTGTTTCACTGCTGGCCTGTGCCACTTCAAATTTCAGAGACAG